CCCCCACCCTGTGCACCCCCCGAAACATCAGTTAGTGTTCCATTCAATGCAAATAGAATCAACAAATAAGATAGAAAAAAAACAAGTACCGAACTCTCGAAGCCATAAATAAATTAAAAGAAAAAACTGCAAGAAATGAAATTGAAAATGAGAACAGCAGTTAAAGATATAAAATTACACACCGACAATAAAATGGGCAGGCAAAGTGCATCACTCGTAAGAGAAAATGTAATGTACATGAAAAGTCGTGAACGATGCAAGTACCTGACAGGCTGACACTAATATCACACATGCAAATGCAACATGATACAATGTATCCTACAGGCTACTGCTAATGCACTGGCACCACATGTCGAAAAAAATACAAGAAACAATAGTCTACAACTCGTGTCGTAGCTGCCTAAATGATACAAGAAAAAAAAATAATGTACAGTCTGAACTCAGTAGTGTGCAACCGACGACACTCTACAAACACCCTACTCAGCCTACTGGCACGAAAATCATACTCTACGAACACCCTACTGCTACCAAAATCATACACACAACAAGTAAAGCACGCACACAACCACTAAGTGTCTGACAATACTGAGACAAGACGAGACGACTCAGACTACCAAAAAAACTACAACCGCACAACATGACGACGTACAGTGCCAGTAGGGGAGAAGCGAAGTGTTGGCCTCATCGGTCAACGACCCTTCTTCCCCTTCCCGCTGTGTCTCCTCGTGCCTTCTCGAGTGCCGGATGTCGACCTCTTCCTCCCTCGTGAGGGTGAAGAAGTCCGTGCAGCGGAGCGTCTAGATGCACGCATCGGTGGGGGTCCTAAGGAAGGTGGGGGCTCATCGTAGTCGTCGTCGTCGTCACCATCGGAACCGCTCCTGCTATCCTCCTCTCCCTCCTCCTCGCCCTCGTAGTCCTCGTCCACATCCCACACAGTCGCATTCGTATCAGGATCATCCTCCTTGATGGTGAGTGGGCCTCCTCCCTTCACAACAACCCTCGCACTAGCCTCTGCAATGGTCTGCTCACGGCGGGAAACACAAGGCATCCCCAACCCCTCCGCCCGCGAACTCTCTCCAAGTGTTGCGCCTCCCTCTGCAGGCACGGGGCGTGGACGAGGAGGTACTCCACGCTTGCGTGGAGTCTGCTCCTGCACGGCACGCGTCGCTGCTCTCAGAGCGTACTCCAAGGTATCGGTCGACACTCCTCTGCCACGACCTTACTGAGGCTCACAACCCGACGCCGGTACCTCCCTCGCCGTGGTCGTCCTAGCGCCTCCTCCTCCCAAGCCCGGCTGAAGGCGTGTAGTGTGCTCCATGACACGGCGGGTGGAATCCAAATGTATATCTGTCCTCCCGAATATCGTCATGTCACACACGTCCTGTTGAACTCCTGTCGTGTCACGAATCCTAGATCTCCCACGCGTGTGTGGGGATCGAAAGCCTCTGCCTGTGGGTGACGATGATGGATCACCTGCAGGTGCTCTGGGAGGAGGGGGTGGCATGTCTCATGTGCGTGACGCTGTCTCCGTCACGCCACCCGAAACCCCTGGAACATGTCCTGTGGTATGTCCTCCAGTGGAGGTAGACCCAGACCACACGGGCGACGCAGGACCCCATGGAACCGAAGGGATCGACTGCCACGGTGGGTGCTCGAGCTTCCGGTCGAAGATCCGCCGGTCTAAGCGAGTAACATCGCGCACAGCCTCTCTCGCCAACTCCTCTGCATCCAAAGGACGACGGACCTCCTGCGGAGCAAAGTCGCTATAAAGACGTGGGGGCACAACCACCAGCTCGGAACCCAAATCTGTGATAACGGGCAGTGGCACACCATAAACTGCCATCTGAACCGCCTGCGGCTGTCGGGCCTGAGCCAAGTGCAGGCCCGAGAACGGAACGACTGGACCCGTCGCTGTCTCCTGCCCCTCGCGTCGTAAGTCTATAGCCCCCTCGACCCGTCGCTGTCCTGCCTGCACTGCCTCATCCACCGCCTGAGTCCGTCCCTCCACAACAACGTCCGCTGTCTCTGCTCCACCCGGCATAGCCTCGGGTACCGGCTCTGCTGCCACTCCCTCCGCAACGTCCTCCCCCGCCACCACCCCACCCTGCACACAATCCCCCCCTATCTCTAGATGCCTGACGTCCTCTACGGCCCGTGCGAACGCCTGAGCACGAGGGTCAGTCGATGCCAAAAGTCTAGCCCTCTCTCGCTCCATGATGTCATGTTCTGCATCTGGAGACTGAGTCGTCGTCCTCTCTCTGGCGGTTTGCGTCGAAGTCCTGCCTGGTGCCTCATCCGTCGATGGAGCCCGATCCGTCGATGTCGCCCCGCCGCAACTGGGTGGAAGGCCCACCGACAAATCCAAGTCTAAGTGGGTCCCCATCTCCGAATCAGAAATCCCTAACCCCCTCTCCACACCCGGGGTCATACCCGCTATGGCCGGACCGAGCTCCTTCGTGAGGAACTGCTGCATGAGGCACTCGTCATCGCCCCCACGCTGCACCTTGGCGTGTGCGGCTATCTCCTCCTCCACTGCAGCTGCCGACGGTGCATCCTCGTCCTCCAGTGCTGCTGCCACCTCAACCTCCACTGCTACTGCTCCTCCACCTGCTCCTCCTGCTGCTGCCACCTGCCCCTCCACTGCTGCACCTCCTCCTGCCGCTGGTGGATCCTCCGCCAGCACTGATGCTGCCATCTCCTCTAGCACTGATGCTGCTGCTGCTGCTGCTATCTCCTCCACCGCGGCGGCGATCGTCGCGTCCGACACAGCTGCTGGTGCCATCGAACTCTCCACTGCTGCTGCCGAAGGTCCCCCCTCCTCCTGCCCTATCCTAAGGGAAGGTGATCGTAACCTAAGCTGGCGGACTGCCCCGCCTCTGTGGAGAAGGCCTCGCTGAGGCAAAGAGGACCCCAACTCCTCCCTGTCCGGCTGAAGTGGAGAGACGGGCAATCGTGGTGCAGGACTCGGAGGAGGAGGTGGCGGCATGGACGAATCCCGCCTCGTCGGAGTGGGGGTCGTCGCCTGCGCCTCTGGGTCGTCCGTGGAAGCGACCTGACCGAATGGGCCCCAAAAGTCCTCGTCTCCCCCCAGCATATCGCTCTCCGCCCGGTCCGCCGCCCGTCGTGCAGTCTGTGTCCTCGTGTCCTCGGAGCCGGGATCCTCGTGCATCTCGTTGATCTCCCGGGGAATGCGGAGCGCAGGGTCATCTGCCTCCTCGGGTATCGGCTCCTCGTCTGAGTCGTCGTCCCTGGCGTAGGGACGAAAAATGCAAGCACGTCTATCGAAAACGGCATCAGTTGTGGGTGGTGCGGACGCCCCGATGGGATCCCGGGTAATAAGTGCAACCCGACGGGCAATCTCCTCGTTCGTCATCCCCCTGCGAGTTCCCGTGCGCACAGGCTCCAACTCGAGTCCTGCCTGGCAATCCAACATGCCCTCGTTCCGCTGCCATGGCAGCACATAACCGCATCCATCCCGCCGATACTCAGTCAACCGCACATTTGCGGTGATCTCAACGAGTTGCATGACCTTCTCGAAGGCCAACTGGTTGCGCTTCTTCGTGTGAATGCCCTCGTGGACTGCCCTGTTCCTTTCCACTCGAGAGGCGCAAGACCACATGTGCATCACCCGAAGAGCGCAACGCTGCAACTGTGGCGCGCCCGACCCGAACTGAGACCACCAAGACGCGCACTCAATCGTCTCGCTGTCGCCGCTGCATGCGCGCCCACGAGCACGCCCCTCCGGACTGCCCCAATCCCCGAACCTGCCATGCTGAATGTGGAAGTCCTCAAACTGCCGACATGCAAGGATGTACTCCGCACCCTCCAACTCGAATCCCGTCTGCGTCAAAATGTACCTCTTTGCTTGCCCCACAAGCCAAGCATCGTACCTCTCCACCTGCCCCGAAAAGTAGCGAACGTGTCGCCTGCGGGGGTTCAGTAACAACCCTGCGCAGTGAGTCGGCTCAAGCATGTGCTGTATGCGAGCCTGCACACGCCTGATGATCCGGTCGGCGAACGACGTCCCCAAAGGGGCGCATGCGACCGTGACACGGCGGACAAGATCCTGCGTCCACTCGATCATGAGGGACATGTACTGTCCTCCACGATCCATCCTCCTGAGCAACTCCATGACGGGCTGCATGATATGGACGATGGTGGCCACCCTCTGCCACCATGGATCCCATCTGATCTGTCGGCGTACCCACCGCGCCATGACGCACACATCGGCGGACCACAGGATGGAAGCAAAAGCCCGCGCGTCGTCCCCTCACATCATGTCCTGCAAAGTCTCCTGCAGGGCCAACAGCCTCTCCAGCATGGAGTAAACAGACGCGAACCGCATCTCGCAAGAAAGAATAAGCCCCTTCTCGGGGCTGCGCGTCCTAAAAAAATGAAGGGCGGCCTGGTGGGTTTTGAAAAACACCACCAGCACACGAGCGCGTGTGATCGCGTCCACAAACGCGTCGCAACTTGTCCCCATGTCTGACAACAATTTGTTGCAGACATGGACGGAGCACGGGAGCCAAGTGATCCTCCACAGTGCAGGAGGCATGGACGGCGAGGTCAATGCCCTCGCAGCCCCCACATAGGCAGAAGCGGAGTCAGTGCATATCGCATTGATCCGCTGTGGCCCGCCAAAGCTGAACTCGTGGAAGATGGTAACCCATCTATGAAGGACGTGCACTGCATCGTCCGGCTCGCCCTCTCGATTGATCGTCGTGTACATGACGACCCCTCGAGAGCCAGCAGCAAGGAAATTCACGATCGGTCTCCCGTCTCGTGATTTCCTCCCATCGGAGAGGAGGGTGGCACCAGTCACCCAGAATGGCTACCTCACCTCCTCCAACTCCTCCACCAACTCCGCACGGTGGGTCTCCACCGCCCGCATACTCGCAATCTCGCAGTGGTTGGGCAGCACTGCGCGCGGGAAACTGCCAGGCTGCTCAAGAAGCACCTGCTGATATGCCTTCCACGCCTGGTTGCGAAAGGCATTGAAGGAGACCCCGCTGGAATACAACCAGCGAAGGAGTGCCTTCTTGTGGCGGGCAACCCACTCGCCATCGTAGACATCAGTCACCTTCTGCTGCCGAAGCCTCTTCCCTGCTGGGGTGGCAGCCGGATCACTCCCTCCTTCCTTCCTCTTCGAAGACCCCTCCGTTGCAGCTCCCTTGCCTACTCGCCTCCGCCAGTCCTCCAACCTCTCCCCAGTGCCTTGATAAACCTCAGGCACGTCCTCCCGTTCCGGGACTCCCCCGTCACCCAGGCCACGCGCCTCGCGATCCACGTGGATCACGCCCTCCTCTGTCTCACCGCCTCCACCACCCAAAGTGGGGTCTGCCGCACCATGCCCACCATCTCCCCCGACCCCTCCCTTCGCCGAACGCCGCCCCGCCTCTCCTCCCCTTGCACCACCCGTGCCGGGCACATCGAGTCCGCGCTCCGCTGCATACCTCGACACCCTCTCCATCTGATCGGCCTCAAACTTCTGCTGAGTCCATCGACCAATCTCGTACAACGCCTCGTCGCTGACGTCCTTGCAGTAGTTTGTCTGCGAGAAGTGCCTCGTGGCCTGAAACTGGGTCCCTTGGAAAACTTTGTTGCAAAACGTGTAACGCAGCATCATGACCCCCTTGTTGTCGACCTTCTGGCCGACAACCAGGTATCGATAGACAGGGGAGCAGGCCCTAGATGTGTTCATTCGCGTCCAACGCGCGTTTGAACGGGGATTGAACGCGAATTCAACGCGCGTTCAATTTTTGAACGCGAAACCCGCGTTGAATCGATTTTCGGACACACAGACACCCTTGACGCAACGAACGAGGGAGTTTAAATTCCTTAGACAGTCTGCCATTTACCAGGGCTACCGAAGTAGCTTCTGAATACATTGCCTTTACATATTGCAGGAAATATGGTCCAAAGCCCATCCGTTTCAATGTGGTAAACACAAAGGGCCACCCAACTTTATTGTAGGTTTTTTCCATGTCCAAGAGGAGGAGTGCAATTTCCCTCTTTTTTGAAGCAATGATCTCCAGCGCTTGCAAGGTAGTCATTATATTGTCGAAGATTGTGCGTCATTTTACAAATGCCCCTTGTTCATGGCCAATTAGAGATGGAAGATACTTGGCTAATCGGATAGTCTGATCTTTAGCGAAAATTTTATATGCTACATTTAAAACAGAACTAGGTATATAGTTTCTCACTTCCGATTTACTCCCTTTTTTGTAGAGGAGAGAGATATAGGCTCATATAGCCCTTTAAAAATTTTGTAGGGAGTGCGCCATGTAACCTCACGTTATTATAGATTTCTGTCAGAAAAGGGTCAAAGGCTTCCCAGCATTCCACATACAGTTCCAATGGGAGGCCATCTTGGTCTGGGCATTTGCCAGAAGCCATTTGTTTGGCTGCCTTCCCAGCTCTTCCCTCGAGAAGGGTTCATCCATCGCTTGTGCCATTTGTGAGGTTAACCTTACTCTGCTTCTATCCCAGAATGTCGTGTTGAGTGATAGGTCCGAGTCGCACGTATCATATGGGCGTCTTGTAGTGACAATGTCACTAAAGTACTCAAGGGCATATGAGCATATAGTCTCCATGTCAGTCGCCAACGCAGAGTCGATTGCAAACGGGTGGGTCAGGTCCCTGATCAAGGACTTTGACTGTCTGAGGAGCAGGGACCGAAAGGATAATTTAGTCATTCAATCATAACCTATGATGCCCCTAAGTTTTAACCATTCTCACCATTTTTCTTGTCTCTTAACTTCTAACTTTTCTAGTTCAAGAACCGCCTTTTTCTTTTTTTCAGACCAATAGTATTCTGAGAAGGGGTTCCCACCCATCCTGCTTTCAGCCCATGTGATCACCTCCTTTAGTTGTTTTTCCTTCCATGAATGGAAGGTTGCCTTCATTCTCGAGATTCCGAAGTTCATTAAGGTTGTTCTGACAATGTTAATCCCCACTTTAGCCCACTCCAATAGATCTGCAAATAAATCTTTAGCTTTTCCCTGCTCTTCATTTGGTCTACTACCCACTCTTTAATCCCCACGTCTTTTAACATATTGACATGTAATAAAAAGGGGTGTCTTTCCTTCTCGATCACGTCTTCAGAAATAACGTCCATGAGGACTTGGCAGTGGTCTGAAAGAGAGGTATATTGAACCTCTGACTAGCAGCTTCTATCCCACGGGGTTCCTCTTGCTAATATGAAATCTAGGCGGCTGCGGGGAGCGGGGGTTCTTTTGGATGGCTTTGGGCTATACCACGAGAAGCCATTTGCCTCTGGGTTCAAAGTTCGGAATACACCTGTCAATGCCTGTGAGTCAATAAACTCAAACAACATTTTTGCGTCTGCACGAGTAGGATGTGACTGGATGTCTAGACAGAGAGTCGAATCCGGTATAAGAATTGTATTCAGGTCTCCTAAAACTATCAGGTTCTCTCTATGTGACACCCGCGGCCTAGGTCGCGGGCATATCGGCCGCTGCGGCCGAGAAAGTCGGCCCCGGCCGCGGCCCATGAGGCCAAGTCCGCGGCCTGGTTTTTTAATATTTTTTTGACCCCCCAAAAAATACGTAAAAAATATATATATATATAAATGGGGGTGTAGGGCTTGGAAAACCCTACACTCATATTTGTTTTTTTTTTAATCCGACTTTGTTTAAGATTTTTAAAAAATCAAAAACTAAAATGGATTAAAACCAGAAATATATATATATATATACAGAAAAGCAGTGATTTTTTTTGTCATTTTTTATCATAAGATATATGGTCCCCAAGTCGACCTGTGTTTTTTTTT